GTGAGATTAAGAAAGATTGTCCTGCTGTCTGGTCAGATAAAGCACCCAACGTAACTCTTTATTGCTTTTACGGAACAAAAGTCCCAACTCCTGAATCGTTTACGTTTGGAGAAGGAGAGTTCCCAGACACCTTTCCTAAGTAYAACTTAGGYGATGGAGATGGAACAGTGAATATAAGAAGTCTTCGAGGCTGTAAGGAATATATTGGAAAGCAAGTCCCTCCTATTTCAGTCAAGGAGTACCCYGGAGCAGAGCACTTAGACATTATTGGCGACAAGCGTGTAGTGGACGACATTACAAAAATATTAGATGGTTTAGAATAAAACAATTTATTGAATAATGAGTATAATAATATCAGGTTGCAACCTGTAAATATTTTTTTTTATAAATATCTAGGTGTGAATGATTTTGATATTATTGTTTTCGTTGCTTGTTGCATTTAATACACTTTTAAACATTTTATCCAATAATTTTTTACACTTTGGAAGACCTTAGAAATTATATACTGAATTAATTATTGGAATCAAATGATAGATAATGATAGGATTTTATGTTTGTAACAGCTGGCCTGTAGAGGTTTGACTAGTAACGTTTATTCATAACCATTCTATGAATTTTATGTATTTTGTATATATTCTTTGCTGTACTTTTTACATTTATTGTTTTTACAAATATTATACATTTACCAAGGTATAGTTCTAATTGTTTGTTTTGCCAGGGAGACTGGGGAGAAATGCACTGTGCACACTTGAAAGGGTCAACCTGCCGGTTCCCCCACCAGTCTAACTGGTGAGGAGGGTGGCATGTACACCCAGCAGGACTAAAAACAAGACCTGTCAAAGGGCGAATGAGCTCATCTGAGCCACCGGCCATCATGCATGCTTCTTTATTCCTTGTATGTATTTTTTGTAGTGTCATTTATATTTTAATTTTTATTGTTGTAATTTTTAAGTTTGATATCTTGGGACGGACTAAGAGCGGCAGCCATGAGGCGCCATCTTAAGCTCGCAGTCTACCATGACTCTGTCATTGTAATTGTTTGTAATTTGAAAGCGCTTAGAGCAGATTTGTATAAGCGCTGTATAAAATAAAATTATTATTATTATTATTATTATTACATGTATGTCAGACAATGCCTAGTGTAATCTAAAGTGGACATCTTTTTTTTTTTGCTGCTTGTCAAATCACAATCTTTGTTTTAACAGTAATTTACGCCCCACTTGAAAGACATGCCGTAACTAGGGGCAACATGCATGTACAGTGCATTTCTTCTCAGTTGTTGTTTGCAGGTATAGCTGCATTATACTCTCCCACAATATTAATATATTGAGGTTGTATGTTTGATAATCTAATTGGTATTTTAAGACGTTTTTTAGGTTTTAATTTGTACATCAACAAAAGATGATAAAAACATTTTAACAGATACAGAAGTTTTACTTAWTGAATAATGATATAACAGAATGTGTTATATTTTATGAGTTTGATAATAATATATTTTTTAAATACAAGACATTAGGAGACAACAAATTGAACAGCTAAAATTCTCCATTTATTATTCATATCAGTAAGTACTTGTATCTACAATCCTCTTATTTTATATCAATTTAATAAAGTGATATTAAAATATTACATTCTCTTGATTCTTTTCATAACGGTAATTCCTCTCTTATCTTCATGATRTTTTTCATTTTTCTTTTGGTTCGTCATGACAAAAGTATGACAAAAGGATTGATTTAGCTATCACTTAGGGCTGTAACCAGTTATGATTTTTGATAATAAATCACCTCTTTCAACTTCCAAAGTCTACATGCTCCAGAATCCTTAAGTGTACATTCCAGTATTCCAGAGCACAGGAAKCCCATGCCATCCAGTCTGACAAACAACATGGCGAACATCGTTTGAGACCCCAAGATGTGTCGAAAACGCCCTAAAACTTCAAACCAGGGATACATACTTAATATATTTTGGTGTTAACCCTAGAAGGAACGTCCGACTATTTCGCATTTCATTATTTTTCCAAARAAACGCGTCAATTTACCAAGTTTCGTTATAAGCTTATTCCTGTTTGTGKGATGGGATGCAGTGTGGACAGCTTGTTTTGACAGGTTTGGAAGTTAAAGCATAGAATCATAGCCATGTCTTGGAGCGCATTTGATGAATTTAAGGTAATTAGGYACAGTGTTCATCCAGCATTCCTGTCTCTATATTTTAGAATACTGACAAAAGTAAAAGTACAATCATCAGTTTCATCAAGTATTTCCTTTATCGTCCTGATTTTACAGTATATATTTAAGTGGTACTTAATTTACTATTTCTTGATATTAAAGCGTGCAAACTCACTCCATTCAATTTATGATTTTTTTTCATAACGTTTATTGCTTAATGTTTTGGGTTCCCTGTGTGATATCYATTTACACAGGGAACCCAAACAACTGATACATACATGTTTGTCTCAGACTTTTGCATCAAAGATAAAAGACCAATGCAAAAGAAAGAAAGGTTAGCGAAAAACCATTCATTTGTATGATAAAATATTGTTATGACAGTCATTGTCACTCTCCAGCAATTACTAGATATGTTATTATTTCATAGATTTTTTGTTTTATTCTAGACTGGAATAGGCCTCCATTGAACAAACGAAAATCATTGGACAGGGTCTGTATTGATTATAATCAATTAGTTATGTGTAATAATAATCAATGTGAATAATAAATACTAATAGAAATTGTCATATATAACAGAGTTCAGTAGAAGAAGAAAGTGGAATTGATAGATTCTCCTCTGATGAAGAGCATGAAGAAAGATTTGCTCAAAGACCAACTCATTCAGGAAAGCATAAGGTAACAATATGAGATAATCAAGTATTTAAACTAATAGATCTATTTATAGATAATGAATCTACCAGTCAATTAATCTGTCAATCAATCAATCAATCAATCAATCAATCAATCAATCAATCAATCAATCAATCAATCAATCAATCAATCAATCAATCAGCAATTCAATATAAAAGCCAATCAATTTTATCAATCAATCCATCATTTTATACCACTAGCTTGAAAGCCCATCAAAAAGAAGATCTCCAAGGTCTCGCAACCCTAGAAAAAGGATTCGTACAGATAATGAACTTGGCAACTTGATAGATGATTCTGAGGGAACCCCTGAAGATAACTTGAACAGTATCAAACCAAACAACATTGGGACTGCTGTTACAAGTACATCCAAATACAATGCAAGTGCTTCAGATGAGGCAAATCTGTTGATGGAAACACTGGTAAATTCTTAAGGAAGGAATGAATGGATGAACAAATGAATGAATGGATGAGAAAATGAAAGGATGGTTGAACCAATGAATGGATGCATGAACAAATGGATGAATGGTTGGATAAGTAAATGAATAGATGAGCACTAGCTAGAACACTAGATGGCTAATTAAGAAAAAAATGAAAAAATTAAATTAAAATCTGTAGAATGCAAGTATACAGTCATGCTTTGATGAAAATATTTAGCTTACTTACGAAATTCTATTTCTGAAAAGGATGTGATGATCAAAGATTTCAATTCTTCTGATGAGGAAGAGAAGCAGGTATAAAAAATAATGTTTTGTAAATATTTCTTATCATAGTCATTATATTGTTATCATGATTGTTACAGCGCTGTAACCACTTTTTATAAATGTATGAATTCATTTGCTTTTCATATCATAGTGCTTGCTTTGTCAATGAACTAAAACTTTATTAAATTTAAGGCTTATTATTATTTTCAATAGTCAGTAACATTTTGTTTGTTTCGTTTGTTTCAAAGGAAGATGAAGAGCCTAACATTGAAACCCCTACCCCCACCCCCACACCAAGCTCAAACTCAACCCCTCCCCCTAGTGTCAAACAATCAAGAACGACTGAAACATCTATAACAGGTAGTGAATGGTTAAAGAGAGTCCAATCCATTGCATCTAAAACAGAGGAAGCTTCTGATGTTGTAAAGACTGATGTAGACTCTGCCAAGAAAACAAAACAAAAATTCAAAAGGTAAATAATGTTCTTATAAATTTCTATAAGATTCTGTCAATCCCATGGTGCATCTGGTGCCAGCATCATTAGGGKAATGGRYCYTTAKGTGGCCTTTATCTGAAAAAATCTGTAGGGTGATTTTGTTATTGTTAAATTATTGATAAACAGATCAGGATTGGCAGAGCAACTGCAAAARGTTATCAACAGAGAAAAGTCAGAGAAAACATTTTGGACACACAAACAGACAACTGGTATGATGGTCGTAAACATTTCATTTGTTCATCCCTTTGTCTATCTATCCGTCTGTCCATCCAACTATCTGACCAAGGAGTGCCAAGACCAGTGAGCAATACCATTCAGCCATCCTCCTTCATTCATTCATCCATCCATTTGTTCATTCATCCATTTTTTCTTTCACCTCATTCAATTATTTTGTCTTTATATAATTCCATTTTATATAAATCAAATTTTTACTACAGGAAGCCAGGACACAGGCTCTACACTGGACGTCCAAATACTATCTGTACAAGTCCAGTACTCATTGTGCTTTACCAGGTGTTGTGTGTTATCAAGCAAAGATGGTAACAACAAACCTGACGTGGTTGATGTGGTATTTAATGCTGAGACTAGCAAACATATTTTACCACGTGTTGGTAGTGCTGTCAGAATACATCCTCCATGGTAAACAAAAAAATGTCTTCTTTGCAGTTTCCCGCATCAGTTTGAAAGGTAGCCTTGCCTTTGCATGAAAGTGAGATGAGAGGGTATAAAAATGGTGTCTCAGCAATCACGAGGCTTGCCAAAAAAAAATCCCAAGGCTCACAAGCTCACATTTAAAAGAAAGGGGCTCAGATTTAAAATTGCTTTTGTCTCCGAAGCACACAATTGACAAAATATCGGACTCGTTCAAGCAAAGACTTGGGCTCATATTTTATAACGAGGGGCTTGCAGGCTCGGTGAGGCTCTGATTTTACCATTCGATATCCCTAGATGACTGTTGAGCAAGAAATGATAGAAAACTTCCTTCACACCTACAGGCAATTTTTCACAGGTATCTACATKTATCATTGCACGCTCAATGGTTACCTTGCTGCAATACAAAGGCAAGGGTACCTTTCAAGATGTAGCAAGGTTGACAAAAACCATGGACCATTCCCATCTCTGTATCTATGGCTAGGCCTAGCTAAGATGATGTAGGGAACTGTGTGAAAGAGCATTGAAATAGTGTTCCAAGTTTTATACTCAGACACATATTTATATTGGGTTTCAGGCAGAAACTTCACCCTCCATTGTCACCATATCCTGTTCTTTTATGCACATATTACTGCGAGAAACTCTCAACACCACCGGGATCTCCATTAATTGATCTAGCATCACTTACAGGTGATAGTAGTAGAATGTTGCTTGGTTTGTTAGTTGGGAAGGCTGACTTACACTGGTGATTTTGTGACAATTTTTGCTGCAAGTTTTCTTGAAATTTTAAAATATATTAACGATAGATTTTGTCTTATCCTTATGAACAGACGTTTTATAGCTGATATCAGTCTGCTGAATAAAACTTTGCAAGTTGATTCTTTAAGACTATTCTCTAGGATCAAAATTACTAACAAAAGCTCTGCAAAAATCGCCAATGTTAACAAACACAATATGATTTAAAATATCATTAAATTATCATTCTTATCATTATAGATGTTTGTATGATTCCTAATCAACCTGGTGAAGGATCCTCTCACCTAATGCAGTCACCTCAGAAGGTAAGCAGTAGATGCAACACTAATGCTACTTGTGCAAATGGAATTTGTAATAGCAAAAATATAATCAGATTTTTATAATTTTGCAATTCATTTTAAAGCTTTTAGAAAATGGAATCCATTTCTAGTAGCATGAAATGGGAACTTTTTGGAAGCAACATAAATATATGTGTCTACATACACCAAAATGAAATGAAAGTGTTAAAATATATTAACAATATTTTTTTCTTTTCAGGGTTTTAAACCAACSAAGCTTCTATTTGAGTCAGACACAGTCAGCAAATCRRCAGTTCCARACAATTCCAGCAAAGATAAAGTATRTTTACCATCAATAKCAARAGCAATAGAGACCCAAGGGGGRTGTAGTGGKGAAAGTGTGTCATTCCAGGCTGTAATACAAAGGATATACAGAAGAAGRGTCAAGATACCAAGAGACAAAACAATAGAGAGGTAGTATGATTATAAAGAGAACAMAATTAATAAGTGAAAAAAAAGTAACAAAGTTGTGTTTGTTTGGAATTTAAGGAAACAAAGGAATAAGTATTATTTTAGCACCTACTTTGAACTATGAAGTTTCCTTTATTATATTGTATCTGCTCTATTCAAATGATGCTATTTTAGCATTTGATTAACCTCACCWTTTTAATGATTWCATAGCCCWGGTCACCTGGCTTTGTCCAAGTCTTTGATTACAAGAGCAMGRAAYGGWGAAGACAAGGAAGAAACAAGGTGTGATGTCKTTAAAAAAYTCTTCTCCAAAAAATTTMAGAAAAACAAACCAAGTCAATAAATAAACAAGCAAATATTCAGGACTGGAATKTCAAAGAGTTCATGTCAATAATGTTAATAAAAGTCCTTTATGTTTYAGRTGGACYTTCCTGGTGCAAGATTCAACCTTCAACTTGTGTGAAGTTCAAATTTCTGAAGAGTTTGCACAAAAAGATGAATGGTATGAGAGTTGTTTTAAAACATTTGAAAAATCTATATGCTTTTTTTTGTTCACCATTTGGTATTCTTGTTTGTGATTTGGAAAGGATTTCATGTATTAAAAGTGGAGAAGGAAGACAGTACAATTTTGTGGACTTGATGATTTCTCAGCGTACCAACAGAACAAGGTATTAAAAAAAATAGATGTAACAATCTACTCTTATTCATCATTTTTTATATGTTGGTATTTTCTTCATTTGTGAAGGTCACCAGGTTTATTTAGTGTTGTGGATTCCCTGTGGTGTGCAGAATCAACCAATCACARTCAAGATGACAAAAGCAGCCAAATTCACTTCTCTCAGGTAAATTGCTCAGTAATATGTTTAGATTTAGTGAAGAAAAACGTTAACTCATCCATTCTTGCATTTATTCATTCATCCCTTCATCCATTGTTTTTTTTCTTTCTTCTTTCATTTATCCATTTGTTTAACCATCCATCCATTCATTTGTCTGCTCATTCACTCATTTAATTATCCACTAAACTGTCCAAGCACTCCTTTTCCATGTCTTGATTTATTGACATTGTTTTATCATTTTCCTCAGGACGCATCCAGTCAGTTTTCATTGCCTCTCTCCTCTGCACCCAGTCATTGCTACATGCTGACAGTACAAGAGGACAGTCATGTGACACCATGCGATGGAAACGATGGTAATTCCAATAGATCCTATTAGGGGTCCAGGGTTGGTCAAATTAGGCTGGTATGGGGAAGGTCAAGTTATCATGGCTTATTGAAGAGGACAATAAAATGAGATTTCCGTTCAAGGGGGGTATGCTGTGGCAACAGAATGCAATGTTTGAAAGTGTTAGGAACAAGATCCAACCAAATCATGAGTCATGTCTGTCCATGTAATATTTCTTTTCAAAAAATAACGAGTGTTACAGTGATCCTTTTTTTATTGCTGTTAATATTATTCATTATTAATATTATTATTATTCGAAAGCACATATGAAAATGTTTTTGTTTTTATTTTTCAGTGACAAATCTGAGTTCCCTTTACAAATCTCCAAATCCAGTGTCATTACAAGATATGTGTTTGCACCATCACACCCCTAAAAGGTTTACYGTCTGGTGTAGAGTGATCTGTTCTCGCTCCAGCTCATCTAGCAGAATCATAGCTCCACTGTCAGGCTTTCAGAGCTGGACTGGGCAGTTGTTTGTAACTGATGCCTCACTTCACTGTGGTGCAGCTCAATCGACACAGGAAACTCAAACGAATGAGAGGATCTCCCAATATTTGAAGATTGACATTAGACCATCGTTTGTCATGTCTGAGGAAATTAAAAAAGCTGTTTTGGAAGCTGGTAGTGTGTTGTACTTTCAGGATATTGTGTACAGTGGAATAGGTATGATATGATAAATAGTCATCTATTCTTGCAGACAGCCGTCATAACAGACACTTCAATAATAGCCTGCTCCAAAGAAATCCTTTAAAAATAAAGTTTTCTTTAAATAGCTGTCACTGACTATTACAAACACTTCATTAAGGTTCCAAAGCTGCCTGTTATAAGAGTTGATTGTAGCTATTTTTTAAAAAATAACAACAGTTGATTTCTGTTTAGAAYGCCATGTTATATATGCTGATTCTTACTCCACCATCAAGAAAGGAGCCACTGACCCTTGCCAGGCAGACCTAGATACGGTAGGAACTCAATAGCTCTACCAATGATAATGGTTAAACTAAGGAAGTATAGTAATGGAAATGAAAACGACGAAAGGAACAGAAAGTGAATGAAAAGCAAATGAAAGCAACGAAGGAACAAATGAAATCGAGAGAGGAAAGAATGGAACCAGGAAATAGTATGAAACCGGGAAATCAACAATGGTGCAAAAGAAACGAAGATATGACAAATGAACGTGATGGATGAATTAATGATCCGAAGAATAAATGAGATGAGTCTTTTCCCGATATAAATATTCGAACGGAAATAAACGAATGAATTTCAATTGATTAAATCATGTTTATATATATTGAATTTCAGGGCGATGTCAAAGTGTTGCCTTTATCTATTTACTCGGATTTGTTCGCTTTAAGAACCCGTGAATTTATCTCACCTTT